TGATCATTTCTTTTTGAGTGGGCAAACATTCAAAATCAGCAGGGGATCAAATACTTATTTCCTTCACTGTATGCCATGTATATTGAGAATGTCTTTGTAGCCAAAAGAGTTCCTATGCCTCAAACAGCAGGCTGAGTCACATGGAATAGACTGTTCTGAATCTGGTTTAGAGATGGTAATAGGGGCCTTAGCACACTTAGAGATAGAGAACCAGTACGGTCAGAATTGAACTCTGCCATGGATGCCACCAGAGCACGATTTGAGTCTCTGTAGGCAGGTTGCTCAATAAATTGTGTACTAACGAACATAAAGTCTGAAGTGAACACAGGGATAGTCTAAACCTCATGCCGCAGGGTTACAGAAGAGATGCGTGGGGACAACTCTATAATAATAAGGATACAAGAATCTAGATCACAGCCATCATTTTTTTCTCGGGATATAGAGAACTCCCCTTTAAAAGTAGTAGTGGAGTATGGGCTTCAGCTAACTGTTGCTGTGAGACTTTCCTCTGTTTTTAAAAAGGCACCACATTGCTGAAAACAACTAGTTCCAAATAAGGCAGGTCCTATTCACAGGCGTATTCACAAGCAGCTAGTGCTGATGAGGGTCACAAGAGGCCAGGCGTGACCAAGTCACTGCAGGCAGGCAATGTAATGAGGCTGGACACTGGATGATCCATGAGATGATTCAGAAGCAGGAGCAGCAATGCTTCCTCGAGGCTTAATGGTGGGGGAAATATTGAGGAGCATATACACAACACTCTACCTAGCAGAAGACATCAACACTCAAGGTTCCCTCAACCTTAATGTCCTAATGTGCATGGACACATAGGATAACACTGAGCTGCTTCTACAGACAAAACACAAAACTCTTGAAGAAGTAGAGTTTTTTCTAAGCCAGTGCACATACACCCTAAAAGAGAAGTTGGGGATATAAAAAAAGAAACAGTCATACTCACCTAGGTGTATGCAGCATCAATTCCATGCTGCATGTGTCCCTTCGCTGCCTCTACACAGAGAACTAAGTGACCAAAGACCGCTGATTTGTTTTTCGTTCTTCAGTGAGCAGAGAGCTGGTGACTGTACAAATGATGCAAGGCATTCTCTGACTGGACAAGAACGAAATTGTGATGTTACCACCTCGGCACTCCACCTTGTCTAATCAGAGAATTCCATACATTTGCTAACAAAAATGCAAGACCTTCTGTGAATGGCACCCCTGCTGACCAGGTAGACAGCAGCAATTACTGTGGCAGTGACACCTGCTATAGTGATTCTTTGCATCCACAACGGATCCACAGGTATGGATCCAGGCTGGATCAATGTAACTATACAATAAAATCTTTACGTGGAGTTCAGCTTTAAAATAACATTCCATGATCTGATTGGTATTGTATAACTATTATTGTATATATTATATATATACACACTATATTGCCAAATGGGTCACCTGCTTTTACACGCAGATAAACTTTAATGGACAGCCTTAATCCGTAGGGTTCAATATTGAGTTGGCCCACCCTTTGCAGCTTCAACTCTTCTGGGAAGGCTGTCCACAAGATTTAGGAGTGTGTCTATGGGAATGTTTGACCATTCTTCCAGAAGCACATTTGTGAGGTCGGCACTGATGTCGGACGAGAAGGCCTGGCTCACAGTCTGTGCTCTAATTCATCCCAAAGGTGTTCTGTTAGGTTGAGGTCAGGACTCTGTGCAGGTCAGTCAAGTTCCTCCACCCCAAACTTGCTCATCCATGTCTTTATGGACCTTGCTTTGTGCGCAGTCATGTTGGAACAGGAAGGAGCCATCCCTAAACTGTTCCCACAAAGTTGGGAGCATGAAATTGTCCAAAATGTCTTGATATGCTGATACCTTATGTGTCCCCTTCACTGGAACTAAGGGGCCAAGCCCAACCCCTAAAAAACAGCCCCACACCATAATCTCCCCTCCACCAAACTTTACACTTAGCACAATGCAGTCAGGCAAGTACCGTTCTCCTGGAAACCACCAAATTCAGACACATCCATTGGATTGCCAGAGAAATGTGATTCATCACTCCAAAGAACACATCTCAACTGTTCTATAGTCCAGTGGTGGCGTGCTTTACACCACTGCATCCGATGCTTTGCAGTGCACTTGGTGATGTAAGGCTTGGATGCAGCTGGTCGGCCATGGAAACCCATTCCATGAAGCTCTCTGTGCAATGTTGTGCTAATCTGAAGGCCACATGAAGTTTGGAGGTCTTTAGCTATTGACTCTGCAGACAGTTGGTGACTTCTGTGCACTGTGCGCTTTAGCATGCACTGACCCCACTCTGTCATTTTTCGTTGCTGAGTTGCTGTTGTTCCCAGTTGCTTCCACTTTGTTATAATACCACTAACCGTTGACCGTGGAATATTTAGTAGCAAGGAAATTGCTTATTGCGGAGGTGGCAACCTATCACGGTATCACGCTTGAATTCACTGAGCTCCTGAGAGCGACCCATTTTTTCACAAATGTTTGTAGAAGCAGTGTGCATGCCTAGGTGCTTGATTTTATACACCTGTGGCCATGGAGGTGATTGAAACACCTGAATCCAATGATTTGGAGGGGTGTTGCAATACTTTTGGCAATATAGTGTATACACACACACATTCATGGGCCACTTTATTAGGTACACCTGTTCAATTGCTTGGTAACACAAATTGCTAATCAGCCAATCACATGGCAGCAACTCAATGCATTTAGGCATCTAAATGTGGTGAAGATGACTTGCTAAAGTTCAATGCGAGCATTATAATGTGGAAGAAAGAGGATTTAAGTGACTTTGAACGTGGCGTGGTTGTTGGTGTCAGACAGACTGGTCTGGACATTTCAAAAACTGCTGATCTACTGGGATTTTCATCACAATCATCTCTACTGTTTACAGAGAATGGTCCGAAAAAGAGAAAATATCCAGCGAGCAGCAGTTATGTGGATGAAAATGCCTTGTTCATGTCAGAGGTCAGAGAATGGGCAGACTGGTTCGAGATGATAGAAAGGTAACAGTAACTATATGGACTAAAATCTCTGAGGAATGTCTCCAACACCTTGTTGAATCTATGTCTCAATGAATTAGGGCAGTTCTGAAGGCAAAAGAGGCTCCAACCCGGTACTAGCAAGGTGTACCTAATAAGCATATACTATATAAAAAAAATAATAATAATAATAACAAATATATATATATATATACACACACACACAGACATCTCTGTGAGTGTGTGAATGGAGGAGGAAGAGGCTTTCGGAAGTGTAACGGATGGATGTGCTGACATGGATCCTCCCCTAGCACTAGCAGGGTGATCCTGGGCATCTCTGTGTTTGATGTGCCAGCTGCCCCCCAGGACCCCTTGCATGCCATGTAGATCAGGGCGGAGATCTGCAGGCAGGCAGGCTGTGTGTCTGCATTGCACTAGGGAGGAGGCGGAGGTGGGGAGAAGGAAGGAAGAGCAGAGGGGGAGGAGGTGGGATTTTCCAGCCTGCCAGATGCTGCCTTGTATTGTTGATGTAGTGCTGAGCTATGTGCCTGCTATAGGGACCTTCCGTGCAAACAGGAGGACTGAATACAATGTGTCAGCACCGATCGTACCCAATGGGACTTCTCCCCTCCACTGACTGAGATCTCTTGTGCAGCAACAGCCTGGCACAGCAGGGCAGAGATCTGGAGGTAGGTGCTCTGTGTTGTTTTCTACATAATCCTAGGATCACCCTGGCTGTGTGTGCTGACAGTGATCAGTGGACTTCAGATCCCTGGTAGGACTGGCATTTGTGAATAATCTGTTATTGTGGACGTAACCACGCCTTGTGTGTGCCCGGGCGCTTATCAGTGCTGGTCCCAGAAGAGGGGTGGGAGGCGATTGACAGGTGGGCGGGGCCTGCACGGCATACCGATTATTAGCCATCTAGGTGGCTGAACTGTAATGCCCAGCATGGCTGCTCACTGAGTAACTGTGTAGCATTTTCCAGTGGTATCTGCATGGATGTGTGTGAGATCATATGCTCTGATCTGTGTGGGCTGAGTTAAAGGAAAGATCAGGAAGGCTACCACTGCTGACTCTCTTCATCCAAATGCCAGTTGCCTGGTTAGGGCCGAAGCTTTTTTTTGTCAATACCTCCCCTGTGGGTCACAGGAGTGCACTTAATTTTGCACTCCTGTGACCTAGAAGCAGCCTAAAGCTGTCAGCTGACATCACAGAGCCAGTCCAGGCTCTGGAAATGTATCCTGACAATAATGTCGGGATGCACCCAGATGCCTGACCGGCAGCTGGTCCAGAGAGCAGTGACTGTTAGTCACTGCTTTCTGCTCTGCCCCTCCCACGCTCACTGGAGCACCACACTGTGAAGGGGGCAGGAGCGCTTGGATCAGGCTCTCAATGGTTGCGCTAAGGCGCAACCATTGAGAGCCTGAGCCAGATGCTCCCACCCCCTCCACAGTGTGGTGCTCCAGTGAGCGTGGGAGTAGCAGAGAGCAATGACTGACAGTGACTAAGAACTGAGTGATCAACGGTCATCACACTGATGCTGCAGTCATAGAGGTGAGTGAAGGTGTTTGGTTTTTATGCTTTAACCACTTGCCCTCCAGAGGATTTACCCCCCTTCCTGACCAGGCCATTTTTTGCATTATGGCGCTGCATTATTTTAACTGACAATTGCGCGGTCATGCAACGCTGCACCTAAATGAAATGTACGTTCTTTTTTCCCACAAATAGAGGTGGTATTTGATCGCCTGTTTGTTTTTTATTTAAAAGACCGACAATTTTGAGAAAAAAAAAGTTTGACTTTTTGCTATTAAACATGTCCAATAAAAAAATTTTAAAAATCAAATTTCGTCATAAATTTAGGGCAAAATGTATTTTGCTACATGTCTTTGCTAAAAAAGAAAAAATCCCAATACATGTAAATGAATTGGATTACGTGAAAGTTATAGCGTTTACAAATGGCGGTATATATACTGGAATTTCTTTTTATTACTAGTAATGGCGGTGATCAGTGACTTATATCGGGACTGCGGCGGGCTTTCTGACACTGGGGGGGAACTGGCTTGGTGTCACTAACATCCCCAGTGACACCAATACAGTGATCAGTGCTAATAAAAAGCACTGACACTGTACTAATGACACTCTGCAGGAAGGGGTTAACATGTGGGGGCTATCAAATGGTTAACTGTGCCGTTCCACAGTAAGCTGTGCTTGTGTTTTCATCTGTAAGAACACTGCTTATGCAGGCCATAGACGGATCGAACATCGGCCGATTTTTCAATAAACAAAAAATTGCTTGTTCGTTATGCCGACGTTACCACCACCGATTAAAAAAATCGGCCAACTAAATCATAAAGTTAACCCCATAACTTCTGTCCTTTGCAGGTCACGGCTCATGCGCAGATTTTTTTATCGTTAAAACGATCGGCCAATTTGGCCACCATTGCTGGGAAAATCAGCCGTTTTTTCCAAATCGGCCGCAAATTTTCCAACATGACCGATAATCTCAAAGTGCAAAAAACCAGAAAAACGGCTGACCAATTAACCCACTAACAGTGCAAAAATCGGCCGATTTTCGAACCGTCTATGGCTGGCATAAGTATGGTTCTGCTATGCCTTGCGCGTGCCCCTACCCAAATATGCAAAATCATGTATATATACATGATTTTGCGCACCCCTGCCACCCTGTAGCAGTATATCTGCTATAGGGCAGCGGGAAAGTGGTTTAAAGAGTAAAGTGATTCTAAAACTTGTTTTTAACCGCTTGTCCTCCTGAGGATTTACTCCCCTTCCTGACCAGGCCATTTTTTGCGTTACAGCGCTGCGTAACTTTAACCGACAATTGCGCGGTCATGCAACGCTGCACCCAAATGAAATTTACGTCCTTTTTTTCCCACGAATTGAGCTTTCTTTGATGGTATTTGATTGCCTGTGCGATTTTATTTTTTTGTGCTATAAAAAAAAAAAAAGACCAACAATTTTGAGAAAAAAACCATGTTTGACTATTAAACATGTCCAATAAAAAAAATGTAAAAATCAAATTTTGTCATAAATTTAGGGCAAAATGTATTCTGCGACATGTTTTTGCTAACAAATATCCCAATACGTGTAAATTAATTGGTATATGTGAAAGGTATAGCGTTTACAAATGGCTGTATAGATAATGGAATTTTGTTTCCTTTTTACTAGTAATGGCGGCGATCAGCAACTTATAGCAGGACTGCAGGACTGCGGCTGGCATTCTGACACTGGGGAGAACTGACTTGGTGTCACTGACATCCCCAGTGACACCAATACAGTGATCAGTGCTAATAAAAAGCACTGATACTGTACTAATGGCATTGGGCAGGAAGGGGTTAACATGGGCAATCAAAGGGTTAACTGTGTGTTGTTTTACTATGGGGCTGTGTCTGTGTGCTTCACTGCGAGCACACTGCTTCACCTTAGGCGATTGTATCGGACGTGGGAGTGGGTACCTGTCAAATTTGGGTACCCACTCCCCAAAGGTGCCAATCCTTAATGGGGAGCGAGGGACAAAGCATTAAAGTTTAGCTTCCCCCACTGTGCTGTAAGCTTTTAGAACTTTAAAGCCCAACTGGTAAAACTATGGCTGCACCACCACACTGCAAGGGATAACTGCCTGTTTATGTCTAGGGAACGGGAAAAGCAGTTTTATGGTTTATTTAAACTGGGTACGCAGTTTTCGAAATCCCTCTGGTGCAGTAGGACCGGCCAAACTTCGATTTGTGTAGCCCTCCCCATTTGACAGACGCTGTATATTAGATCAGCTTCTGTTGAACTGGACTGCTGAAAAATATTCAATGTCTTCACAGGACAGATGTGTGGGATCTTTATTTTTTGCAAACAGTGTAAACTGACAGTATGTACCCAGAATCACACTGCTGGCAGCCCTCACCAGACGATGGTTGACAGGAGGTGACATATTGCTGAAAAACCCTCGTCACTGTGCTACTGTCGCGTTGCATGGTGGTTGCGGTGCGACCCCATTCACTTGAACATGACATGATGTAATTTTTGCCTTGGCAAATGGCGTGTGTACATCCCCCTCTGACTACTGTGCTAGCCCCCCCACCCCATGCTCCAACAATGGACTGTCATCTGCCATCCTTACTAATGATGACCTTAGGGGTACTCTTAGTAGGATCCACCCCACATATACAATCCCGTCAGAAAGTTGTCAGCTGTCACTTGGCCCATACAGGTGACATCTTCCTTGCAGGCTAGCACAGGTGGGTTTGGATCCTTCACTGGACACGTCTGGACTCATTATCAATCCTCACACCCAATGCAGTGCTATGATCCCTGCATCAGTCTTGATGACTTCATAGGATCTTAGACTGTCAGAGTGTAGATGGCATAAGGCTGAGGGGATCAGGCTAGCACAAGAGAGGACAATAAAGTGATATTAAAGGCAGTTATTTTTTTGTTTAGTTTAAAAACACCAAACATGTTATACTTACCTGCTCTGTGCAGTGGTTTTACAAAGAGCAGCTCAGATCCTCCTTTTCTCCGGTCCCCTGCTGGCACTCCTGGCCCCTCCCACCTGCTGAGTACCCCCAGAGCAAGCAGCTTGCTTTGGGGGCACCCAAACAGGCTCGCTCTGGAGCTGTTGCTCTGTGTGTCCATCTATACATGGAGCACGGCTCAGCCCCATCCCAATTTCTCCTCATTGGTTGTGATTGACAGTAGTGGGAGCAATTAGCTACTGCCGCTGTCTCAGCCAATGAGCAGGGAGAGACTGGGAGAGCCGAGGCTCTTGTGCACATCGCTGGATCGGGATGGTGCTCACGGACGTTGGGAGGGGGGGCTGGAAGGGCTGCTGCACCCAGAAGGTTTTTTTTAATACCTTCATGTAAAGAATGCAATATACAACCACTATGATTATTATTATTATTATTATTACTTCGAGTTTATATAGCGCCAAAGGGTTTGCTCAGCGCTGTACAATAGAGGGGGGGGACAATACATGGCACAGTACAACAACAACAAACAACGTACGAGGGGTAAGAGGGCCCTACTCTTTCGAGCTTACAATCTAGGTGGGAGGGGGTAAAGGTACAGTAGGAAGTGGCTGAGGGGAATGAGGGGTGGGAGGAAAGAGGGAGAATGGCCGTTAGGTGAGGGTGGGTAGGCTTCCCTGAAGAGATGGGTTTTGAGGGACCGCCTGAATGTGAAGAGGGAAGGCGACAGTCTGATGGATTGGGGCAGTGAGTTCCAGAGGATGGGGAAGGACCTGGAGAAGTCGTGCATGGGAGGAGGAGACCAGGGAGCAGGATAGAAGGAGGTCCTGTGAGGAGTGAAGGGTACGGGTAGGGCGGTACTTGGGGATCAGGTTGGTGAGGTAGTCAGGGGCAGTGTTGTGAACGGCTTTGTAGGTCAGGGTTAGGAGTTTAAATTTGATGCGTTGGGCAATCGGGAGCCAGTGGAGGGAGAGGCAGAGGGGGGGTGGCAGAGGTGGAGCGGGGTGGTGAGGTGGATGAGTCTGGCCGCTGAGTTCAGGATGGTCTGGAGCGGGGAGAGCCTGCACTTGGGTAGGCCGGTGAGAAGAGAATTACAGTAGTCAAGGCGTGAGATGATGAGGGAGTGTACTAGAAGTTTGGTGGTGTCAAGGGTGAGGAAGGTACGTATCTTGGCAATGTTGCGAAGATGGACCTGCATGTGTTTGTGAGTGATTTGACATGCGGTTGGAAGGAGAGGTTCGAGTCAAGAATGACGCCAAGGACTTTGGCTTGCGGGGCGGGAGTGATAGTGGAGTTGTTGGTGATGATGGATAGGATGGGGGGGGGGGTGTTGGCAGGGGGAAAGACGAGGAGCTCGGTTTTGGAGAGGTTGAGCTTGAGGAAATGTAGCGACATCCAGTCTGAGATGTCATTTAGGAGGTGAGTGATGCGGGCGGAGATAGTGGGAGTGAGGAGAGGGGTGGATAGGTAGATTTGGGTGTCGTCAGCGTAGAGGTGATAGTTGAAGCCGTGAGAGTGTATGAGTTTGCCCAGGGAAGAGGTGTAGATGGAGAAGAGAAGGGGTCCAAGGACAGAGCCTTGGGGGACCCCAACAGAGAGGGGGAGGGAGGGGGAGGTGGCACCATTGTAGGTGACACTGAAGGAGCGTCGGGATAGGTAGGATGAGAACCAGGAGAGAGCAGTATCTCTGATGCCAAGGGAGAGTAGTTTATTAAGGAGGAGGGGGTGGTCAACTGTGTCGAAGGCCACAGAGAGGTCCAGGAGAAGGAGGACAGAGTAGTCGCCCTTGGCTTTGGCGTTTAGTAGGTGAGCAATTAACCCTTGCTTTTCCTGGGGTTCAGTTTTGATTTGCTAAGCGAGCTGCTGAGAGCCTGAGTCAGCTGCTCCCTCCACAGCCCAGTGCTCCAGTGAGTGCGGGGGAGGAGGCAGAGCAGAGAACGGTGACTGCTCAGAACGGCTCTGAGAACTTACCCTTAGAGTTGGACAGATGCAACATTGGACTGATGCTGCATCCACCTAGGTAAGTACTGTATAACTGGGCAAAAAAAAGCCCATACTACTCTTTTAACCCTTGAGCTGCCTATTGCAGGGAGGATTGCTCCCTGGATTACTGCACAGTGTGAAGAGCACTTTGATGAACACGTTGGATTACTGGAGTATTTTAAAAAGATACTCATCCACCTTTTTCCTCCCCAAAATGAGAACAGCTCAAAAAAAAGGATAAATCATAGTGCTCACTGTTGTCCCATAGAAATACTTATAAATAACGTCATTGAACTCATAAAGACATTGTGCTTCATACAACAAAAAAATGCGACAGTCTAAAGTGTTTGTCAGAGCGTTCTCCACACCATGCAGTAATCCAGTGTGTTCACTCCACACCCAAGTGCATCAAATTGATTGATTTTTTTAATGTTTGTTTTGGCAGATTTAAGGTACAGGTATTTATTCTGAGTTATTGGCCCTGCTCTGTTATTTTATTTTGACTTTTGACCTTTGGTGTGAAATACTTGCCAGTGTTGGTGCCCCAACCACAAGAGAAGCATTTGACTTTAATGGGTGAGTTTGATAAGCTGTGCCGCCTGTCAAACTCAGCATGCTAAACTAAATTTGCTGAGTCAGGGACATGTGTACACCCTCTTCCAGGTGCCTGGTTAGGCCT